TTGAATCCAGACGCCAAGGACCCTGGCGTCTGGTCCCTTGGCTTAAACCAGACGCCAAGGGCCCTGGCGTCTGGGCCCCTGTAATCTTGAACTTGCTGTTTGATACAGGAAGATAACACATATATATTCATATGACAGGTTCATACAACACAGATTATAGCTCATTTCACAGAACTTTCACCACGACAAATTCTTGCATACAAACGAGAACAAGTTCACGGATTTTTCATCACGACAAATTCAAGCATAGATAAAACACCAAGTGCATACACAAGACACCAAATTCAAGACAACCTAAGCTGATGAGGATACTCCGGACTATGGAATTGTGTGTTCCATGTCTTCTTTCTACCTTTCTTGCCTGGTGTCTTAGCTATGGCTTTGCCTTTCCTAGAGCGAGCATTGCCTTGTGTCGGTTGTGTAACCTGTGATGGTTGTGGAGCATCAACATCATACTCATGATCCTCTTGATGTGTTGCATCATACTCATGCTCCTCATGATGTGTTGGCTCCTCTTGATGTGCTGGCTCCTCTTCATGGAACTCCTCCGTGTCCTCATCGTTCTGGAGATAACGCCGTCTATTAGCTGTGGCGGCGCGGCTACCAGGTGCATACACGTCAGTGGACTAAGCACCATGGCAAGAAAGCATTGCTGCCATCTTATGAAACCGCTTCTTGAACTTCTGCAACAACACAAAATATGCTATGATATGAGATGCAAATAAATAATCCGCGAAAAGAAACTTTTTTAATATATTGGTCACACCTCCATCGTGCTCCTAAGAGTCCTTTCAGATAATGCACCACCAGGTGGATGACTCAGTGCAACATTGGCATCGTTGACACACAGAAGCAACTCTCTACCCTGCAATTCATGAACACACCAAACTTATGTATTTGAAAGAAGACAACATGATGCAAGTATGTTAGAGTAATAGGTCAAACAGACTATCATTTCGTCATGCATCGGTGCGTAGTCAACATGAGCCCCTCTGGTGTCTCTCACACCCGTGTTGAAGGTATGATAACCTTCTGCAGTCTCCGGTTCTTCAGACACCAACTCCGACCACTCCTCGTGAGTCCAACCTGTCTTCAGCTTTAACCGGTAATGATCCGCATACCACACTTGATACTTCTGATATGCTGACTGATTGTGAGGTCTATTCTCTGATTGCACTAGTGTGTCTCTTTGATTCCAAATTTCTATCCATGCACGGTGTTTGTTTGTCCAATCCGATATATCCTGAATGTTCCTTTGATCGAACCTACAAATGATGCACGGAACAAAGCATTAGCAAACATTGACTTATTCAATGCTCTACTACATACTCAAGGCATGCTTGCTCACCGATGCAGAGATAGCATTTCCTCCTCGCTCTCCTCAATTGGAATACCTTGTCTTCTTCCAAATTGTCTTGCCACACGGTCTACAAAGTGCCACTCGTCTGCGAAGAAGCATATCATTGGGCACCTCGCCCGCCAAAGATGGCTATCACGCGTGCACATCTCATTAAGATCAAAGTCACGATCTTCCACATAAGGCAACCAATATACCTGCAAAACAAAGAGATACATTGTTAGCTACAAGTTTCATTCTTGACTAAATTTTATCTCATCGAACTTCTCAAAACCTGCTCAGCAGTCAAGGTGTCCAGCTCGTTCATATAGCACTTGTATCGCACATGCGAGCTTCCTGTGTAGACTGTCACTTGTTCCCAATAGTAAGCAAGCGTAGGGCGCCGATATGGATCATCATCATGCAACCCGTCATGATTACCCCGTGGGTTTGTCATGAGGGGGTTCTTGAATTCGGGTCGTCCAACCGGGATCCGCTCCCACATCCACACGGATAGGCTCCAAACAAACCCAGACAATGAGGATGTATCTCCCTTCCTCCGACACGCCAAGTCAAGCTGCAATCAAACAAACATGTTAGATATGGAGGCGCATGACAAATGCAAGATAAATGGTTGCAAATATCTCTTACCTGACGATACAAATATGCTAGTGCGGCCGAACCCCAGCTATACTGGGTATCCCAGTTATTGAGTAGCTCCAAGAACATCCAGAGGGCTGAGTTCCCGGTTGCATCTGAGAAGACTACCTTGGTTAGTACATACCAAAGATAGGCCCGCGCGTACTGCTGCACAACCACATCATTGGCATCCTGAGGGCACGGATTGGTATTTCCTCTGACCATTTTTAGCCAAGAATGCCTCACTTTCGCGGTATCGGCCTTGCCTTCCTGAGGGCCCTCGGGCTGAACGCCAATTAAATCGGCAGTCCGTTCTCGCCAATTACCCACGCTGACACGACCGGTAACAGCTTGTCCGTTGATAGGAAGGCCGCTTATCATAGCCATGTCCTGTAGGGTCATCGTCATCTCCCCACATGGAAGGTGGAACGAGTGAGTCTCCGGCCTCCAACGATCCACAAGTGCGGTCAGCGCCGCGTGGTTCACCGGCGGAGCGCGTCGCTTAAACTGCAACACGAATGGGAGAAGACCCAATCTCCGAATGTAAGCCTCATACCACGGGTCGTAATCAAAGTCATCAGCGAAATGACCCCTCATGCGCATAGCAACTACTTGCTGCAAATAAAGTGATGTTTTAATAATCAATACAAGAACACAAATGAGAAACAACGAAAATTGACCCAGTCTTGCTTCTTACCTGTCCATTCTCAATGGCACGAGCACGATGCTCCTTATCCCACTCATCGATTAATCCGTCATACCAAGGACCATCACCATCCGCCATCCTACAAAACAAATCACAAATATCTATGAATACATGAACAATATCAAACAATTTCCTTCTCCAAGTTTATGCCATATGAAAACACCATTCTTCTCAAACATAACCACATCATTTCTTTCTTCTACATATGCACACATATCATCTAGAGTACCAAATTTCACCATCAAATAAATTTCATAATCATCATCCGCCATTCTATTGAACAAATCATGTCACACACAATAATCAAATTTCATCATCTCTTTTGCATAAAAAAATTTGCCATCTATATATTCAACTATATTGTCATACCACTTCACATTTTTATCTTCTTCATATGCACACATAATTATTCTCAAACATATGCAAATACATCATCTAATTTATACAACCCAATCCGTGGAACAACTCATGTCACATACAACCATCAATTTCATCATCTCTTTTGCAAAAAAAAGCTAATAGGAAAATCTACATATGAACCAAACAATTTCAAATTGCATACATATTCAACAACACATCATCTACTATCTACAAATCAACTATACCATCTAACAACTACACAAAATTTACTAAAACAAAAAAAAACAAGTACTCATCTAACATCTCCCAATGATGAATAATGCAACCAAAAAGAGATGTTCTAATCAAAACAAATTGGAGGGAATGGGGGAGAATACCTCAAGGATGCTTGGGGGCCTCAGATCCACAAATTTGGGTGGAGGATGTAGTAGATCAATGGGGAATTTGATGTGAGGGAGAAGAGGGGCGAAGGAGGGATGCGCTCTGTCCCTGCGCCGCCAGGAGGAAAAGAGATGGGTGGGTGGGCTCGACCCGCGGGGGTTATCCACTTACCAGGGCCAGACGCCAGGGTTCCTGGCGTCTGGCCCCTTTGCCACGTCAGCAGGTCAAGGGGCAGGCGGGCAGTGCGGGCCAGGGGCCAGATGCCAGGACCCCTGGCGTCTGCTTCGTAACCCAGGCGCCAGGGATCTTGGCGTCACCGAAAAAGGTTAGAAACGAAATTTATTTCGGATCGAGGTCAAATCGGGATTTTCTTTGCACAATGGGTCAAAACAGTCATTTTGTCCTTGTCCATGCAGGTCACCGACAGGGGCTGTGGTGATTGTGGCCAGTCAGAGGTGGAACAGGGGTGGCCCTGTGCTGGTCAGGGGCTGCCGGGTGACCGTGGGGCCGAGGTCGTAGGGTTGGCTGACGAGGGCCGGTTGTGGTCGGCGGCTACCTCGCACGAGGTGCCAGCCATGGGGTCTGGTGCAGTAGTGGTGACTCTTGCCGGCGGCGTGGCCAGCCGGGCCAGAGCGGAAACACGTTGAGGCGCCATGGATCGGGGTGGCAGCGGCTACCGCACAAGCAGCGGCTCACATCGGGCCTGGGGACGGGTGGGTTGCAGTGGTGGCTGCTGCTGGCTAAAAGACGAGCTAGGTGGGCCTAGCATTGGGCCACGGGGTTAGGTTAGCTTAGATTCGGGCTTGCCTGGGCGTGGAAGAGTTGCGCTCGCTTGCAAGAGTTAGCTAGGCCGGGGCATGTGTGAAAAGTGACTACGCTACATTTATTAAGTAAATCGGTTGGGGTCCATCTTAAAATAGGTTTGGGGGCATAAATTTAATTAAAAAAGTTTGTGAACTATTTTTGTGGCCTCACAACACCAATTGCAAGCCTCACAAAAATATTCAACATTCTTCTGCACCCATTTATGTTTTATACTAATTAAATTCATATAAATAATATTAGGGATTAATCTAAAAATATAAAAAATTGTCCTTGAATCCCTAAATGTTTGCAAGGGTCCACATAAGCACGAGGCCATTGCCAAATTGCCATAATTTAGGGTTTTAGCCTTTTAAGAAAACTGTTGAGAGTTAATAAATTCTCATTTCAAATTAGTTGAATGTAATATGATGCGAATACAATGCTTATGAGATTAGCATGGTGCAATGATGATTCAAAAAGGAAAATAAAACTCAATTTCTAATTTTAGGCAAACCCCGTGGTTGTTACAGAATGATGGTGTACCGCTGTAAACTAGAGGCCAAACGAAGCTATAACCGGGTGCAGCAAAGCGCGCATGTTCCTCTAGTATAATATATAGTTTCACAAATAAATCACATACTAGTTGATACATATCAGTAATAATGTTCATGGACAATATAAATAACTAATGATTGCCTCTAAGACATATATTTCCAACACATACAAGAAAGATATGCGTACATACACACCAGCAAATGATGCATGAAAAACTACTTAGACTTGCTTGCAAGGCAGACATCCGTCGTTGACGACGTTTGTCCGTGATGCTCTCATCGACCTGAGGCGCTGGAAACGAACTCTGTGCCATAGGTTCAGCCGGAGGCACAACTCATCGAGCATCCAGTCGGGCACAACATGGCAGATGCACCACTCAAGCCGGTGACCTAGGTTAGGCATGCAGAGCGGGCCATGCCCGATCCAGCACACCGCCGCTCTGGCATACTCGTCCGATGTCGGCATGATTAGCCGGGACAAGAAGCTTCGTCGCTTGCGGGATGCTGTCGCCCCCAACGTCATGTTGGTCTCCACGAACAACGGCACCTGCAGTTGCATGACACATGCCATGGTATTAATTTTGATCCACTCAACGATGATTGTGTTGCGTCTAAATTGATCCATCGCGGTGTACTTAGCAAGCTTTATAGATTCTAATAGCAGATAAATGTTTGTAGATTTTAATTCGAATTGCTATTTCATCTACATAAAGTGCTTGTATTTTGGATTAACTTGTTCATATGCAACTCGCTCGTATTACTAGGATTCAACAAGACTCTTACTACATAGGAATGGACACGTATTACACTTTTGAAACATTCAATAGTAATGATAGATTTGGGCGGATGGTTGTAAGGAACACGTAGAAACAAACATGAACTGCCCATATGCATTTTCATTCTAATATTATAGTAGGCCCCACGTACGTACCTGACATTGTACATCAATTCCTTTGCCCCTGTACTCAACGTGAAGGCTCCTGGACAACTGAGTAACGTACCTGAAATGTACTTTTATTGAACTCAGAAAATATCCTGGTATATCACAGATATACCAAGTGAAAACGACAGAAGATTTGTACTAGGTGGTACTCCCTCCGTTCCTTATATAAGGTGTATTTATTTTTTCAAAAGTTAAACGAGTGCATGTTTAAACAAGTTTCTAGAAAAAATACATTAATATCCACAATACAGAATTTATATCATTATATCCATCACGAATAGTAGTTTCATATTTTATCTATTAGGTATTGCAGATGTTATTACTTTATTGTATAATCTTGATCAAACATTCAAATGGTTGACTTGTATGAAAATCAATACACATTATATTCTGGAACGAATGGAGTAGTATATATGTACCGTTTGGACGCGGCGTAGATGGAAAAGAGCGGGAACGACGTGATGGTCAGGGTGGTCCCAGAGCCGATGTTGACGATGGCACCCCTGCCCCGCTCCACCATCCCCGGCAGCACCGCCGCCGTCACCTCAGTCAGCGCCCACAGGTTCACGCTGATCATCCTCACCCAGGCCTCCACGTCCGCCTCGTGCAGATAGACCGCGCAGGGCTTCGCTAGGCCGGCGTTGTTTACCAGCACCCCGATGTCGAGCCCCGCCACCGCATGCCGGAGCAGCCGCAGTGCCTCATCACCTGCCAAATATATACAATCAGTAAATATAACTGGCGTGCAGCTCGTGTCTTGTACGTCCATCACCTTAAACTTCCCAAAATTTCATGCATTTCGAGAGTCAGCGAACATTTAAAATTTAACTTAAAATATTAAGTACATACAGTTGAACTTGCCGACTACAAAACCTACTAAATCCTTGATATAATCGAGGATTTGCCTCACAGGGTGGTTATCCTTCTATTGTCCTAGCTACTAGTACTAGGGGTCAGTACTATTTGTTCAATTTCAGTTTTATTAAGGCTATAGTGGACTAACCACTACTCCCTTCTTTCTAGTTTATAGGGTTTACCTCATTTTTTTCATTTTTTCAATTTAAAGGGCTCATCTCCATCTCCTTTTGAGATTCCGAGACACATTAAATCTGCAATAATTAAAAAAGAATTCACTAATGCATGTAATGCTACTACGTACTCATCTAGTGGTCAAGCATGCATGCACTGCAATTAATCCCAATTAATGCATCAATTTAATTTGGCTAGTTTTGTAAAGTATGACATATATTCCTCCACTCACCATGTGCCTTGGTTGATGAGATTTTAGATTTGAGCCCTATAAGAGCAAGTACAATAGTCCTAGTTAGCTGGCTGTAACAAGTGCCATGTCATCAAAATCTCATGGGGAGGAGTGATAAGACTGGTTGTAATGGGAGTATCATGTACTAGTATCATGCATATGATGCTAGTGTATGATACTAGCTTCCTAATACATAGTGCTCCCTCCTTCCATCTATATAGGGTCTACTGCGTTTTTTGAGGCTAACTTTGATCAAATATTAGAGCAATAATATATGACATGCAACTTACACAAAGCACACTGGTACATTCGTGTGTGAAAGGAGCTTTCAATGATATAATTTTCACACTGTGCATGTCATGCACTATTAATCTTGTCAATAGTCAAAGACGGTCTTAACAAATGCATTAGGCCCTATATAGATGGAAGGAGGGAGTATCATATATTAGTATCATGTAATACATTATTTATTCCCATGTGTGATACATAGTAGTATAACATTTATTATGATACGGTATTATGATATGATACCCAACCCTCCTTTTTTATTTAATGTAATAACACCTCATGAGAATTGTCTAGTTAGCAACTATGATACTAGCTATGATAATATCATTACAACCAGCCTAAATAGAAAAAGACACTTAAGCGGGTGCTCTACATACAACCCGGCTGTATCACGGTAAACGAGAATAAAAAGCCTGCATGCAGCCCGTGTGTGAGCTTTTGGCCGGCTGTTTACTACCTAAACCAATCATGTGTGTCCTCTTGCTTCCTCCATACTGAATCATTTAATGCTATAGCCAGATTAGTAGCCAATCTACAGTCAGTTTATGTATGAGTGCGCTTTTTAAGAAGGCTTTAGGTGACATGGCACTGTTATATAGCCAGCAACATGCTCTTCTATTAACCATGCTCTAAACCGGAAAGGAGGGAGTAGGACAGAGAGGCTCTGGGAAATACTTGTAATGTCCATTAGTTTTGGGATGCTTTAATAGTATACTTTCTTATATCCATTAGTTTGAACTTAAATTTACTCATATTCAAATAAAATCTGTTCTATTTAAAATAATTTTCCAAGTTTCGGAAATTTCATTGGATACGTCAGTGAGCAAAATTTTAGCCAAATGAAAAAAAAGGCCTTAGCCTTAATTACCTTGAGGCGTGGCGATGAGGGCGAGGTCGACCACGACGGTCTTGGTTTGCACGGCGTAGGTGCAAGAGATGGTGTCGGAGATGTCCTGGAGCTTGGCAGGGTCGCGGCCGACGAGAACGAGGTTGAGGCCGCGTCGGGCGAGGTCGAGGGCGACGGAGCGGCCCATGCCGGATGTGGGGCCGGTGACCACGGCCCAGGCGCCGTAGCGGTGGCAGAGGTCAGTGGGGCGGCGCAGCAGCAAGAGCAGGTGGGAGAGGATGCGGAAGGCGACCGCAGCGACGTGCAGAGCGCCAAGGACGGCGAGCGAGACGAACCATGCCGGCTCCTGCTGCTGCCGGAAGAGGAGAGCCCCCATCTTCACTCTCTTTTGTTCTCTTGCAGACCGATCCATGTCTATTAAACATCTCTGTGCACTAGTAGGTCGATCCGGACTTGATGGAAACTACTGTACATCTCAGTGAAGTAGGAGATCGTGCCGCGTGATCGATCTGTATCAGTTAATGAAAACTGCACTTCTTTCCAAAATTTATCAGCGTGATCTGTACAACACTGTATCAATCAATGAAAACTACAGCACGGTACAATCAATGGAGGAGGACACAAGGAATAATCAACACTGTAGCAACGTGAGCTGTGCAAGTGGAAGCATGGTGCTCAGTCTGGGGTGTGTGTGTGTGCGCCACACAAAAGGAATCTCATCTTCGTTCTCCACCGTGTTCCAGGCTGACTATGGCCAACACTTGAAGATGGTTACTCTGGGAGTAAATGCCTTCGACCTGGCCTTGCCCAACTCTACGTTATGGTTTCTTTTCTAGAGACTCATGCGGTCTGGCGAGTCGCTGGATCTCGATTAAGAAGGGGACCTAGACTGGGAAGTGCATGAATGAACCCGGATACATATGAATCCACATTGGAAAGCACATTTATAAATGCTAAAAAAGTCTGCAAAAAAGTTGCACGGCTATGTCTCCATGTTCTATGTGCGTGCATAAAGTTTCACGAAAAAATAACTTTTTTGTGGCCTGTGCAAAAAAGACAAAAAATTATGTCGTGGAACACTATTTAAAAGCACTGAAATTTGTCTTTTTTGTGGAGACAAAACAGAAAAACATTTTTTCGCAAAACTTTGTGCTGCGTGCACACATTTGTGAACATGTATGCGTGATATTTTATTTTGAATTTTTTAACACTTCAAAACATGCTTAAAATGCATATGCCTATGGGTGCAGGGAGAGCCCTCTCGACCTAGACCTACCTTTCTTCATCGTGAAGGCGTTGAGTAAGGCCAGGTGGAATATTCGTCTTCTAAACACTGAAAACATTATTGTGTCCATGGCTTGCTATCTCAAATACAGCACTACCATGTTTGCTGCAATTACCCATGTTGCAATTACGGCCCGTATTTTTGCTTCAGTTATCCATGTTGCAACTTGGTAACTTTGGAGCACCAAAAAAGTCACCGATACACCTGACCAAGATAAGTTTTATAATCCAATAACAATGTGTGAATAGTACGGTAACTCACACATTAGGCGGTGATAACTTATAAGCTTGAAAAAATGTCCTAAAAACATTCTAAATGATATTTTAAACTAGAAACTACTCCACTTGTCCGAAAATATATATGGTGTGTTTTTAGCATGGTGTTTGATGCACGACTTTGACCACTAATGTGTACTAAATGATATGTATTGAGAATTATAAATGGTATTGTTGCATTCGTCTTGCAAAATTATTCCACTTCCTATGTATTTATACTAATTTTTGTGCATATAATAATTTAACGGCGAAAATTAATGGTACCTTATATTTGGCATGGATGTGAGTATTTATGAGTTTTTTAAGCCGGTGACGTGTGACTCACAGAATACTATGTGATAATTTATGAGCTCAAAAAATGCTGCAAAAACATTTCAAATGACATACTATTTTTGAAGCTAGAATTACAGATGATTAGCCCAGTAAATCACGTACTCTACCTTGTGAATTTTCAACCCCAAAAATTATATCGGAAGGGTCTAATTTTAAAGATCCTATCCCGATGAATCTAGTGGTGAAAACATATCTTAAACCAGATTGGTCATTCAAGAGATAAAATATTTTAATTTTTCAAATAGGAAAGAATCTTGAACTTTTTTGTCCTCTACTGCATGCATGCAGTGTGATGCTCTTATTTTTCCTATCTCACCTTAGATACACATGAAGATGGCATATGTGAAGAGTCCCCATCACAAAGTCTCTTGAACAAAGGAAATCGCTGTAACACATCTATGTCATTGCACGAACCTGGCGTGCCAGAGAAAGCATGTCAAATCCACAAGTCCTTCGCTGCCACTGCTTCAAGTATGATGGTGGCTTCTTTGATGTGGCCTTGGTATTGCCAATGCAAACCTTTTTGGGCAGTTCCACTGCCGGTGCATGCAATCAACTAAACCTGGCATACCTGGGAATCCTCTTGATGCTCCAACTGCCAACAGTTTTTCTGTGTCCTCCACAGTTGGATCTCTTAGGTACTTTGACCTGAACACCTTCACCATAGTGCGTGAAAATTTCACCATGGAGTTCAGGACTATGGTATCTCCCGTCCAAATTTCAGCATCAATTGCAACTGTTGATTTAGCATAAGTAAGCATCATGAGGGCAACTGTGGAGGAGATAAGGGACGTTTTTGCAAATAATCCGTCCTCAGCTTGAAGTTGTCATCAACCTTATCCACGTCTTCCACTGAATAAAATATGCCCTAGAGGCAATAATAAAGTTATTATTTATTTCCTTATTTCATGATAAATGTTTAGTATTCATGCTAGAATTGTATGAACCGGAAACTTAGTACATGTGTGGTTACATAGACAAACAGAGTGTCACTAGTATACCTTTACATGACTAGCTCGTTGAATCAAAGATGGTTAAGTTTCCTAGCCATAGACATGAGTTGTCATTTGATTAACGGGATCACATCATTAGAGAATGATGTGATTGACTTGACCCATTCCGTTAGCTTAGCATTTGATCGTTTAGTATATTGCTGTTGCTTTCTTCATGACTTATACATGTTCCTATGACTATGAGATTATGCAACTCCCGAATACCGGAGGAACACTTTGTGTGCTACCAAACGTCACAACGTAACTGGGTGACTATAAAGGTGCTCTACATGTGTCTCCGATGGTACTTGTTGAGTTGGCATAGATCGAGATTAGGATTTGTCACTCCGATTTTCGGAGAGGTATCTCTGGGCCCTCTCGGTAATGCACATCACTATAAGCCTTGCAAGCAATGTGACTAATGAGCTAGTTGCGGGATGATGCATTACGGAACGAGTAAAAAGACTTGCCGGTAATGAAATTGAACTAGGTATTGAGACACCGACGATCGAATCTCGGGCAAGTAAAATACTGATGTCTACTACACAACCTTCTTTTTTAGACGTTGTTGGGCCTCCAAGTGCAGAGGTTTGTAGGACAATAGCAAATTTCCCTCAAGTGGATGACCTAAGGTTTATCAATTTGTGGGAGGCGTAGGATGAAGATGGTCTCTCTCAAACAACAATGCAACCAAATAACAAAGAGTCTCTTGTGTCCCCAACACACCCAATACAATGGTAAATTGTATAGGTGCACTAGTTCGGCGAAGAGATGGTGATACAAGTGCAATATGGATGGTAGATATAGGTTTTTGTAATCTGAAAATATAAAAGCAGCAAGGTAACTAATGATAAAAGTAAGCACAAACGGTATTGCAATGTGTTAAAACAATGCCTAGGGTTCATACTTTCACTAGTGCAACTTCTCTCAACAATAATAACATAATTGGATCATATAATTATCCCTCAAGATGCAACAAAGAGTCACTCCAAAGTCACTAATAGCGAAGAACAAACGAAGAGATTATTGTAGGGTACGAAACCACCTCAAAGTTATCATTTCTGATCTATCTATTCAAGAGTCCGTAGTAAAATAACATGAAGCTATTCTTTCCGTTCGATCTATCCTAGAGTTCGTACTAGAATAACACCTTAAGACGCAAACCAACCAAAACCCTAATGTCACCTAGATACTCCAATGTCACCTCAAGTATCCACGGGAATGATTATACGATATGCATCACACAATCTCAGATTCATCTATTCAACCAACACAAAGAACTTCAAAGAGTGCCCCAAAGTTTCCACCAGAGAGTCAAGACGAAAACGCGTGCCAACCCCTATGCATAAGTTCACGAGGTCACGGAACTCGCAAGTTGATCACCAAAACATACATGAAGTGGATCACCTGATATCCCATTGTCACCACAGATAAGCACATGCAAGACATACATCAAGTGTTCTCAAATCCTTAAAAACTCAATCCGATAAGATAACTTCAAAGGGAAAACTCAATTCATAACAAAGAGATAGAGGGGGAGAAACATCATAAGATTCAACTATAATAGCAAAGCTCGCGATACATCAAGATCGTTCCGAATCAGGAACACGAGAGAGAGAGAGAGAGAGAGGGAGGGAGAGAGAGAGAGATAGATCAAACACATATCTACTGGTACATACCCTCAACCCCTATGCAGGGTGCCGGAACGGGTCTAGATTGGTTTTCGGTGGCTACAGAGGCTTGCGGCGGCGGAACTCCCCATCTAGGTTATTTTTTGGAGGTTTCTGTATATATAAGAGGTGTTGGCGTCGGGGACAAGTCGGCGGGGTCTCCGAGGCGGCCACGAGGTAGGGGGCGCGCCCCCCACCGTCGTGGTGGCCTCGGGACCCTTCTGGCCCATCTCCGGTACTCCGTGGGCTTCTTCTGGTCCAAAAATGATCTCCGTGAAATTTCAGGTCAATTGGACTCCGTTTGATTTTCCTTTTTTGCGATACTCAAAAACAAGGAAAAAAACAGAAACTGGCACTGGGCTCTAGGTTAATAGGTTAGTCCCAAAAATCGTATAAAATAGCATATAAATGCATATAAAACATCCAAGGTTGATAATATAATAGCATGGAACAATAAAAATTATAGATACATTAAAGACGTGTCAAGCATCCCCAAGCTTAATTCATGCTCGTCCTCGAGTTGGTAAATGATAAAAACAGAATTTTTGATGTGGAATGCTACCTAACATATTTATCAATGTAATCTTCTTTATTGTGGCAAGAATATTCAGATCCATAAGATTCAAGACAAAAGTTTAATATTGACATAAAAATAATAATACTTCAAGCATAGTAACTAAGCAGTCATGTCTTCTCAAAATAACATGGCCAAAGAAAGCTTATCCCTACAAAATCATATAGTTTGTCTATGCTTCATTTTCGTCACACAAAAAGGCTTCCATCATGCATAACCCCGATGACAAGCCAAGCAATTGTTTCATACTTTAGTAATCTCAAACTTTTTTTAACTTTCACAC